TATATATATATATATATATATATATATATATATATATATATATATATATATATTTAAAAAATCATTAAAATTTAATTACCACTTAAATAATTTTCCCCTTCACAAGAAACATGAACATATATATAACACGTTTTTAATCATCACAAAAGAACAAAAGCACCAAAAATACGACGGTTACACAAAGAAAAGCCAGCTGATTAACAACCTTTTTCACATTAAAAATGTTATTATATATATATATATATATATATATATATCATCACCACCAATATATAGATTGAAACCATCTCTCCTAATTATGTTAACAATGATGGTTTCGTCACGATTTCAACTTGTTTTTCTCTTCTTGTTCTGTACTGTTTGCGTCGGAGAAGAACGAGATATATATCTGGTATTGGTGGAGGGTGATCCACCCGTTGCGTTTTTTCAAGATAGTTTGGTTTCTCTTCAATCCCGCAAAAAGGTTGATCCCAACAAGTGAGTCATATATGTTTTTACTCGTAATGTTTCTGAATAACCGATATCTGTTATAGAATAACTGGAAAAGAACAATAATAGAATAGAGAGCAGGAATATGTAATATGTAATTCTCATTAATCATAAGCATTTTTATAGGGATGAGTTACAAGTAGATAACTACGAGATATTCCACGTTTAATCTAACTCTGATATATTTATCTCTATCATCATATCATTTAGACGATGACACACTTATCCTATAACAATATCTGTTTTTTTATTTCTTTTTTTGTGTAAAAACTTATAAATTTTATACTCAAGAAAAGGAGCAAAATGGTCCAAAAAAATTGTCATACAATTGTTTGGGGAATAAGACAAGAAACCGGTAAACTGTTCTCGGACCGGGCCTTGAAACGAGGTCCTAATCGGTTCGGCTTTAAAAAAATCATAACGTTCGTAATCTGTAAGGTTTTTAGTAACCGGGCCCGTACCTCTTGCAACTGGAACAGGTCCCAAGTTTTAAAATTTCTTCAACATAAAGAATTAAAATTCAAAATTTCCTTAAAAAATTGCATTAAATACTGAAAGTTTCTTCGTTTTGGAGATTAAAAATAATAATTTTATTATTAAAATATTCATTACAAATAACTGAAAATTATTTATATCTCTCCTACGCATTTAATTTAATTTTTAAATATTCTTTTTTTTAAGTATATAATATTTATATACGACAAATGCAACAAATAAACTTATCACCCATCTCATATTTTTTGAGGTTTGAAACCGCTAACCTTTTAGAAGGCCAAAAACTACGATACCTGTAGGCCAAAGACCCTTTGGTAATTTCAAATATTCTTGTGGATAGAAAAAATAAAAAAAAATCATTTTTCTCCTAATTAATCATTTTTGAATATTTCTCCAAATTTGGAGAATCTTTCTCTCTCCTATTTTTTTCGTTTTGGAGAATTTGTTACATCAAAAAACTATATAAAATCATCAAAATCTCCATTCTAGAAGTGTACTCGCGCAATGCAGCGAGATTATCTTGATTTTAATATTTCATTTTATTATTTATTTCAGTCGATGTTATAATATGGTCTTATGTGATTTTGAAAAAACGATGATGTTTTTATTTTTGAATAATATAAATTTGAAGATATCAAATTTGACAAAAATATATCGATATTAGTATCAAATTAACTATTTAAAATTCATGTTTTTTGTGTAACTTTTTAATTCAATTTTTTATTATAATTTAATTTATGTTCAATAACGAAGTAATTTGTATATGATTAATAACATAATTTTCTTATAAAGATAATAATTAATTATTTTGTTAGAACTCGATAATTATACTAATTATATTTTAGATGTTTTATATTTTAAAATGAGATGTTYATTCTCTATTTGATTATGTTTATCCGCAGTTATTATTACGAATTCAAACATGAAGCTTTAATAAGTTGTACTTATGCATAATTTACTTGTAATATTGAATTTTAAGTAATATGCATCAATATACAATACTTTATGCATAAAAAATGGTTTTTAAAAGTTTTTGTCAAATGTTTTATAATATAGTATGAATATGTTGAAATGCTATTAAAATTCAATATATAGTCATAAATTTGTTATCGATTTATAAGGGGAAATTGACCAAAATAGTCGATCTCTTCAACCAAATTCACTTTTAGCCTTTATTCTCAATTGAATTCCCATTTTAGCTTACGCATTTGCGTAAACTCAAACCTTACGCAAATGCATAAGACATTTGCGTGAACTCTAGCTTAAATAAGAATCCGGTTTCGAAAATAACTAAAAAACGAACCTGATTGAAAAGATCAGTTATTTTGACGAATTTCCGCATTTATAACTTTCTGTAATGAATTTATGAACACTTTTTTGGGATTAGTGAAGTGTTGAAGGCTCATGCAAAGCACTTGGAAGCATCCCATGATCAACTTCTACAAAGCACTTTAGAAGAAGGAGCTTACAACAAGCTTTATACCTTCAGCCACATTGTCAATGGCTTTTCTGTCCATACTACCCCTACTCAGGTCCTTTTTCTTATGTCCTTTTTGGTCATTTCACATCGCGTAATCCCTAATCTTCGATACCCTTTTCTGTCTTTTCACATACAGGCCAACAAGTTAAAAAATGCACCTGGAGTGAGACTTGTGGAGAAAGATAGAGGAGCTAAAATGATGACAACTTATACCCCTAAATTTTTAGGGTTACCCGAAGGAGTTTGGACGACGGAAGGAGGCGGTAGCAACGTCGGAGAAGGGATCGTGATCGGTTTTGTTGACTCGGGTATCAATCCGTTCCACCCGAGCTTCGCGTACGATCCGAGGGATCGGTACCCGAGCAATCGAACTCGGTTTCTCAGGGTTTGTGATGAGGGGCCTCATTTTCCCAAGAGTTCATGCAATGGGAAGATAGTTTCAGCAAGGTTTTTTGCAGCTGGTGCACAAGCAAGGGGATTTATTAATGCCTCAATAGATATCTTGTCTCCTTTTGATGCAGTTGGACATGGCAGGTAAATAAACTCACACACCCTCTTCATAGTTGGTGAGGTTTAAACCCTTAACCTCATAAGAGGCTAAAGACTCATATACTGCTAGAACAAAGATCCTTTGGTTTTTTTTCTTTTTTTTCTTATGGAGAGCAGAAAACAAAATTCTAATATTTTATTAAAAAAAAAGTTGTAAGGATTTTATATTTATTGGATATTTTAATAATACAATTAATGTTTTTTTTATTAACCTGGATATCCAACCCACCATGCGAGCCGACTAATCCCAGGACGACCACCTGCTTTGCAGATAGTCCGGAGTCACCGCATTTGAACATCCGTGTCCACAAGGGGATTTTTATTCCTCCTTGGATTTGAACCTGGGACCTCTTGGTACTTTTGACCTTTGGAGCCAAGCTCAAACCAATCAGGCACCACCATTGTGGTTAATGTTGGAATCTCTAGAATAGAAAAACAAAAGGTTGAATGCATTTTCTTGGCGATTTTGAGATTTCGTTCTCTATTTTGGAAAAAATTGAAGATGCTATTAAAACACCCTCTAAATACTTAGAAAATACAATAAGCGTTAGTTTATAAAAGGACAAATTGCATGAAAAAATAACGTATTTTAACTTGATTCCTGTTTTGGGTAACGTACTTTTAGAACTTTCATTTTAGTACCTAAGATGTAAAATTTTAGGCATTTAAGTACCGGGGTAAGTCGTTGAAGCATTAATCGGTTACCATGCTGATGTGACGAGTGATGGGATGAAATTGGGTTGAATAACAAAAAATACCGAGTTGGATACCACATCACCCGCCACATCAGGATGGTAACTGGTTAATGTTTCAACCTGTTTCTCAGGTACTTAAATGTTTAAAACTTTTACATCATAGACACCAAGATGGAAGTTTTGAAAGTACGTTACCTAAAATAGGAATCAAGTTAAAATACGTTATTTTTTTATGCAATTTGCCCTTTATAAAAATGACCTTCACATAAAGTCATTTAGTTATAAAGCCCTAGCTACGTCTGTATGACGTGCAGGCAAACCAAGCCACGATGCAAGGAACGTGCACAATGTTCGGTTTGGGTTGGTTCTTAGCAATTCCAACTTTTCGCAACTTAACCGACCCTAAAAACGGTTGTTTTCAGTCACGTAGCATCAACGGCTGCCGGAAACCACGGAGTTCCGGTGGTTGTCAATGGTTTCTACTATGGACGAGCCAGCGGGATGGCGCCACGTGCACGGTAACGAGTCGAATTTCGTAGCTTCTGCTATTCTCGTTATACATTTGACTTCTTGCTGATTGTATTAAGATCATTTTATACAGAATTGCTGTTTACAAAGCTATATATCCAAGTGGAGGAACTGCAACAGATGTTCTTGCAGCAATTGATCAGGTGAAAAGGGTCATTTTGATAAATGAACTTAAGGGTGCATTTGGTATTCAAACAAGATAAAATAGAACATGATAGGATTGGACAAAACATAACAGGACAGAACAGTTGTTCAAGTTCAAGGCAGAACTAGACAGGACAAAACAGATAAAATGACCATTTTACCCATAAATAAAATTTAAAGAATGAATAAAATGAAAAGAAGGCTTATTTGATGTTTTAGAAGAGAATTAGATTTTATTTTGAGGTTATATTGGTAAAACATAAGTCTGTTCCACCTTGTTCTAGCTCGTTTTATGGGGTGGGGGTGTAACACGTCTGTTTCACTTTGTTTCACTCTGTTCCACATAAAAGTCTTGTCAAATTTGGAATTATTCTGTCCTATCCACTGTACCAAATGCACCAATGAGCTTTCAAATAGGAATATGATGTTCTAAAACTTTCTTTTAGCTCAATGACATTCGTCAGACCTGCCTATGATGTTATACAGTCTGCCCTTGGTTCAAAACAGTTTGCTCCTTTGACGGTGTTTTTTTAAATCCATGACCTTCTGACAGGTTTTTAGACATTCTTGTGTATGGGAGTGACATTCTCAAACTTGTCAAAAGGTCATGGATTTTAAAGAATTTGGTAGAAGGTCATTAAATCAAAGGACCCCCTCCCCCTACATCTGCTTGTGCTCACAAAGAATATGATAATAAACCAAATGAACCCAGTATATCTCACTTGAATATAAAGAAACTGGCAATGGTGCAGGCGACGAAGGATGGAGTTGATATCTTAACGCTCTCCATCGGCCCAGATGAACCACCACAGAATAGACTAACCGTCTTAAGCATGTTTGACATATTTATGTTGTTTGCGCGCAAGGCTGGAGTTGTTGTGGCTCAAGCCGTTGGGAACCATGGTCCAGGCCCATACACAACTGTTTCGTACGGTCCGTGGGCTGTCGGGGTGGCTGCTTGCGACACCGACAGAGCCTACCCTAGTTCGCTCGTTCTTGGAAATGGCATGAGAATCGGTGGAATTGGATTATCAGGTACTCTCACTTTCTAATTCTCACTTCAACAAAATTGGTTTTATGGGACACTTAAAATGTGCAAGTGTCATAATAAAATACTTTATAGGACTTAAGTTTATAGGACCAAACCAAAAAGCGTCTTATCTAGAAGTGTTACAATAGGTTTATAGGACGCTTTTAGGCGTTTTAACAAGTTTTTAGGACGTTTTTAAAATAAAGTGTTGTATTAACTATTTTATATGACACTATTTGAAAAGTGTCTTATAAACACAACTATCCTATAAAAAAAAGGTTTATAGGATTTTTCTCAAATATCTTCTATAAAATAGCTAATACAACACTTTATTTTATAAGCATCCAAAAAAGGTTGTTAAAACTCTCAAAAGAGTCCTATAAACCTATTGTAACGTTTTTAGATAAAACGTTTTATCGTTTGGTCCTTTAAACTTAAGTTCTATTAAAATGCTTAGACATTTTAGACATCCTATAAAGCCAATTTTCTTGTAGTATCTATTTCTATTTCTCGTTCTTGAGACAGAGGTAAAGGCTACGTACATCCTGCCCCAGACTCTACTTTCGGATGGGATATACTGAGTTTGTTTGTTTGGGTTTACTGCCTAATTCCAAGACCTAGACTCTACTTTCGAGTGGGATATACTGGATTCGTTTCGTTAGGTTCCAAATTTGGGTACCCTAACCAACTAAATCAAACGAGCCAGGTATATCCCTGGAGGCGAGGTATTGAGGGTAAGATGTACGCATACCTGATCTCTATCTCGAAAAGTAAAGCAGTTGTTTCCATGAAACCCTCGCCTTGAGATTTCTGGGACTCAAAAAAATGTACAATAACCCAAGTGGCACACTCTTGCCATCAACAGGACCGAGCTTTGGAGAAGGGTTACTACAATATAAGTTGGTTTTAGCAAAAGATGCGATCTTGGCACACGGAGATTTTCCGAGGACTCCGGATTTCATAGATGAATGTCAACATCCAGAGGCACTAGACCCTGTAATCGTGCAAGGAAGTGTTGTTATATGCACGTTTTCCGCAGGGTTTCTTAACGGGTCTTCAAATCTAAAGACCATAATCAACACGGCTAGGATCCTAGGGTTCATGGGTTTCGTGTTCGTTGCTAATCCTACTTATGGCGATTTCATAGCCGAGCCTTATCCGTTCTCTATTCCTGGAATAATGATCCTGAAAGCTAGTGATACACAGGTCTGAATCTCTCTCTCTATACACACACACACACACACACATATATATATATATATGTGATGATGATTCCTGCTCACACTCTTACACAAGTTCGGGGTCTTCATGGAAACAATAATTTTACTCTTTGTGGTATAGGTCTATGTAGATCTCACACATCCCGATCCTACTTTTGATTGGGATTTACTAATTCCATTCGGTTTTGGATAATATATATATATATATATATATATATATATATATAAGTAATTTATCCAAGACATGCATAGAAACTAGGAAACATCTTCAGTTACTTGTATGCATTGTACATACAGTACAGATGAACATTTATGAGGGTGTTCCTCGGTTTTTCATTTTTGGGAGTTTTCCTATGAACCTCAATCTATATATATGCATATATATAGGGCTGGGTTCTGGTGAGAAGGGAAGTTATGGTGAGAAACGTAGAAAGAGAGATCTCCGCCCTTGGATCAGTCCTAATAGAATGTCAACACTAAGAAGGTGCCCCGAGATGCACCGGATCAATTCATTTCCAAAGCACAATTCATGGGTGGGCATGAGATTAAAAGTGATCAAGGATTTAGATCTCTTCTTACGCTTCTCACCTTGACTCTTTTTCTCACATGATCTTTCACCTATATATGTATATATATCAACTGCAAGTGGCTGAAATGACTTAAAATTATCATGTTTTTGCAGATTATATTAGACTACTACGAGAAACAAACGGAAAGAAACGATAAAGGAGTTGTAATGGCGTACCATGGGCGAGCAGCAATACGAGAAGGAAGAATTGCTACCTACAATGAGAAATCTCCGGTGGTTAGCAGATTTTCATCGAGAGGACCAAACTTCATCGATGTCAAAAGAAACCCGACAGATTTGCTGAAGCCTGACATTTTAGCTCCTGGCCACCAGATTTGGGCTGCTTGGAGTCCCATGAGTGTCCAAGATCCCATTTTGAAAGGTAAGAGTTGTTCGAGTCCCACACCGCGTAAACACTGAGTGGCCATCAAACCTATACATACATACATATATATATATATATATACATACATATATATATAGGGTCAATGAGGAACACTCTGGTAACTGTTCATCATTTGGTCGGTATGCACATATAAAAACCAAAAAGAACAGCTTCAATTACTTTTATGCACATGTGCATTTTATCCGAATGAACAGTTACCAAGGTGTTCCTTAGTATTTCATCTTTTTGGGGTTTTCCCGTGAACCTCCCTCCTTCCCTCTCTCTCTCTCTCTCTCTCTCTATATATATATATATACACATATGTAGATATACATATGTGTGTGTGTGCGCGCCTCCCATCTCTCTATATGATGCTAAAGTTTAGAAGTTTTCAGGTTCGAACTTTGGATTGGTTTCGGGTACAAGTATGGCGACGCCTCATATTGCCGGGGTAGCTGCATTGATCAAGCAACGGAATCCTTCATGGTCACCATCGATGATTGCTTCTGCATTGGCAACCACTGCAACCACCCATGACAACCATGGGGAACCATTAATGGCTCAAGGATCCGAACTCTACAGATTGATCCGTTCTACGCCTTTCGATCATGGTGCGGGTCTAGTTAATCCCTCCCAAGCCATCGATCCTGGCCTCGTTCTTACGTCAGGTGATCTTACAAATTCTAGATCGTATATCTTACTCGAAAGTAGAGTCTGGGGATGAGATGTATGCAGACTTGTCTTCTTCCTCAAGGAATACAACGGATTCTTGTACTAACCTAATTATGGGACAGGTTTTGAAGACTACATGAGTTTCTTGTGCTCATTGCCGAACACTGATCCGGAGATCATCAAGACCGCAATCGGTGAACCATGCACCAACTCGTTCCATGCACCATCAGACCTAAACATCCCTTCGCTAACCATTTCGGCACTCGCGGGATCGCAGTTGGTAAGAAGGTCTTTCAAGAATGTCGCTGGAAAGGTGGAGACGTATGTGTGTGCGGTGGTGCCGCCTAATGGAGTGGCGGTCGAATTACACCCGCCATGGTTCACCATTGGTCCGGATGGTACCCAAGATGTGGAAGTGAAACTTAACGTTACACAAGTACAAGATACGTTTAGCTATGGTGAGATTGTATTAACAGGAAGTTTGAAACACATCGTAAGGATACCGCTCTCTATATTACCCGTCTCCTTGTCATAATCGTACGAGTTAAAAATCAATAAATGCGTTATCTTTTTATATATATTATCACAAAAGCTATTACTTTTACATTCATCGTATCTCGTTGATTAGAACCTATCTGATCATATAACATACATATGGCGAAAGATTAATGTAATAAACGAATGAGAGAGTAGTGAAAAAACGACAATTACCAGAAACTATCGAGGACGAAAAGGTAAAGTAGCTTCTTGCGTATTGCACATACATTCGCTGCAACGAGGGTATCTATATACACTCCTTCCTACGGGCCGTGCAAAGATCCGTTTGTTTTGTCTCACGGCTTTTCTGATTCGGGTCTCGAAAACTTTCCACTCGATTGTGTTGTTCTTCATGAATATGTCTGCGAGTCTGCGTTTATTTGGTCGAATTGTCGGCATTTTCCCGCCACCGTAGTACACTCGGTAACCGGATACTAAAGACGATAGTTGACTTCCGGAGTCGGTCATGGCGAAAACATCGGCTGCTGTACAGGCTATGAAGTCTAGTGCCGCTAGCTGCAAAGAGTATATAGAATCAGAGACCCATACAGCTGCTTTGAATTACTTCTAATCCGGGCAAAAAGAGTATATTCACAAAAATAGTCGCTCTACTCATCGGAGCAGAGGACAGGTCTGTATGCATCCCGCCCCCGGTCCCCAGACCCCACCTCCATGTCGGAGGGTCAGGGGGAAAATCGCAAAAAAAATAAAAAATTAAGAACACCCTGGTAACTGTTTATCTGGAAGGTATGTACACGTGCATACAAGTAATTTGTAAGTAATTTGTCCGGTATGCACACGTGCATAAAAACCAAAAAACAGCTTCAATTACTTGTATGCACATGTGCATACCGTCTAGATGAATGATTACCGGAGTGTTCCTTAGTTTTTTTAATTTTTTGGGGGTTTTCCCCTACACCTCCCTCCCAGGTCGGATATACAGGGCTCATTTGGAGTGAAATGTTGTAGTTTTGTGAGAGAAGTGAATACGGGATATACCTGAGATGAGAAGTTCAAGAACGGTTTAATTTCAGATGACGATAGCAAGTTCTCTTTAGTAACCATATTAGGAAATAACGAGGTCAAAGCAGTCAATCTTGATTTTCCTCCATAAATATGTGCACCCGCCAAAAATATTCGGGTATCACGCTTGAAACCAAGGCCCGCAAGCATAAGCACGGCTTCCTCGGGCATTAATGGGCATAGACCGTCCGCCTTAAGTGTTTCTGGCGAGGGTATCCTGAAAAACGTTGAAGGGAAGCTTTAGAGTTTTAGATGGGTAGGGGCAGGTTCATGTGAGAACCGTAAATATCTTGAGAAGCTGGAAATCAACTATTTCGTGAATCATTCATGATGAATAACCCTATAATATTACTGAACATTATTCATCATGGATATCATACATTTTTCATCATTCATGATGAATATCATACATTTCCATTATTCATGATGAATATCATGAATATCTATCACGATATTCATCCTGAATAATTCATGAATAATTGGCTCAAGTTCTCAAAATATTTACGGTTCTCATATGAACATGCCCCTTGAGAGAACATACTACAAGTATTCCTTCTCGGTTCAAAATAAATCAAACCAAACAAGCCAAGCATATCCCACTCGAAAGCATGGTCGGGAGACGGGATGTACACAGATTTGTCCTCTACCCTAAAGGCTATAGCCTTTGAGATTTAGAGGGCAGAGACGTGTTCAAATGAGAACCATAAATATTTTGACAAGCCGGAACCAACTATTTCATGGATTATTCATGATGAATAGCCCTATAACATTAACGAACATTATCCATCATGAATATCATACATTTTTCATTATTCATGATGAATATCATGAATATCTATCACCATATTCATCATGAATAATTCACGATTCTCTATTCATGTTCGGTTCAAAATAAACCAAACCAAACCAAACCAAACAAACCCAGTATATCCCACTCGAAAACGTGGTCTGGGGCCGGGATGTCACATGTCCTCTACCAAAGGGTAGAGCAGTTGTTTCCATGAAGACCCCGGGCTTGCGCTAGAGTGTGATTGGTTCGAAAATGAACACAATAATTGATTCATTATGAATACTAACGGTTCATTCATACTTAGTGGTGTTCTTTAGCTCCACTAATCCAGGAAAATGAACTTCACGATATGCTTCGAGCTCCTTCTTTTCTTCTTCACCGCCACCAAAATCACATAAAGAATGAGCCACCATATCGATTTCAAACCTTAGGTGCAAACCCAAGTATCTGAATTCTTTTTTGATTTTTCCCTTTCTCTTGGCAAATGGTCCAACCAGGTATTCATCTAATGATCCCGCGTGTCTTGCATTCTGACGCATTCTCTTAACGAGCAAAGCGGCAGTCGCTTGTATTTTTGGAGTAAATCGAAGTGCATGAAAATTACATCTGCATCGGAGTCTCTGTATGAAGTTCCCAAATAACAAAGAAACGTTTAATCAAGACCATCCATAATCATACTCACACTATCATCTCCGTTTGAACAATCAAGATTTGAAATTTAAGTTCACGATACCGAAACAAGACTCCATAGGTAGGTATTTAACAACGGATCTAATATATTGGTACCTGCAAGTGATAGGGTATCGGATCCGATGCCAAACGATTACCGAACCCCACAAAGTGGACTACTCTATTCTTCATTAAAAGCGGAAGAATATGTTTCAGATAAAAACTGGGCTTCGCCTCTTTCCCAATGTCAGCATCCGTTACCTGCCATTTTCAAAATGAACGCAAAAAATCAATATTTTTTAGCAAAACACACGTTAAAGACAACTACTTTTTGAGTGAGATAAATTACTCACCACACTACCAATGGCTTCAAGATCCAATGACTGTAACTCCTTTGGTAACTCCTTCACTATACGGATATCGGGCTTCAGGTAGTCGATAAAATAGTCCTCCTGATATATATCTCCGAATTGACTATAAAATAATGAAATTTGACCGTCACAATAGCATTTACAAAAAGCTGATTTTATGATAAAGGTAGGGGTGCATAATCTTTACTCCCCATTAGAGCTGTTCACGGGCGGTACGACCCATTAAGACCCAGCCCATTCGGCCCGTTAGAAAAGAGGGCTTGGACAACCATTCTAAAAAATATGGACAGGTCTAGGTGGGATTATTAAAATTAATGGGCAGGCTTGGGCAGTGAAGAAAAAATTCTAACAAGCCCGCCCACTCGCGCCCAGCCCATTATGTAATTATAGCTAATTAATTTTTTTATATAATTAAGATGCTTCTAAATTAGCAAAACGACATAATTTTTGCAAAAAGTTAATAAACCTAAAGCGAGTAGCATATTGGAACAGTAGGAATAACAAAATATAGAAACCACCCCAAAATCCCCCAACAACCCCCTGGTTCAACCCCAAATGAAACTTAGCGGTTGTTTACCTTTTTTTCATTAAGCCCTATATGGGTTAAATTGTCTGTTTGGATAAGTATGTCTGATTGAGGGACGAGAGACCGAGGGGTTCAAGCGAGGCAACGAGAGAGGGTTTGATCATTTCTGATGCATTTCTGGCATTAATTTGTTTGAGGTGGCTTAATGGGCACAACCGCACAAGTGAGGGGTCCTGGCTTATTCCATATACCCGTTTTGGCTTAATGACTTAACGATTAAGCCATAAAGAAACGCTCCTGTATGGCTGAGAGATTAAGCCGTCCAGATCATTAAGCTCGATAAGCTGCAAGTAAAACCCCTTAATACTCACTCCGGCCCAAAATAAGTGTCTACTTTCCAATTCTACCCTAAAGTATGAGATGGGGAAATTCATTACTCCCTCTATTATTAAGGGCAAAATCGTCATTTAGTTAATTAAAAAGTGTAATAATCACACATTTCTAAAACCGTGTCTTTTTCATAACGGACGTTTATTATGGGAAGGAAGAGGTATATAACAAGTTATTACCTCGTATCTCTCCAAACGGTACTGAACATAAAGCTGGGAATGACGAGGGTTGCATTAAGCAATCTTGCAACTGCAACAATATTGCAGACCTGTTGTTAAACCAAGAGTGAGGTTGAACATCGTGATACAATAAACGTGGAAAAATCCATTCTTGCAAACCTAGTTACAAACTAAATATCATAAAAGGGAAGGGGTTCAAAACAGAACACCTTCATTTTACGAAAATGCGAGAACACCCTTTTACCGCAGTGAATCACATGTGATAATGAATCATAGGGGGGCGACCTGTCGCACGACCCTAGGTCGCGGGCCAAGTCGCCCCCACACCATCACAGTATTATCGATTTACTATAGTAAAAGAGTGTTCTCGGGTTTTCGTAAAATGAAGGTGTTCTCGTTTGAACCTCCACCTATCATAGAAAGTGGCAAGAAATGCAATAATAGGCATAACTTACAGCTACTCGCTGCTGGTTTATACCGCCATTTGCAGTAACCATAATGTAACCATTGTTTCCCTCTGAAAAAACACAATATAAAAACCAAATTCAGTCACATCGTATGCATGTAACAAAAGATACTCCTTCCGTCAATGAAAAATGCAAGGTTGGACTTGACACATAGTTATTGAGCAAAAGGTTGATCATTGGCCTCAGAAGGAACCCTCCCCCTAGGAACCACATGTGAGGAGGCATTTCAGAGTTGACTCGGCGGCTGAGGCTAGCAGAGGGGTTCAAGCTCGTCTCCGCATGATTCAAACTTGAACCTGTTGTGTATTTGAGCAAAGTTGCTCCGACCCTTTGCCAACTGAGCTACGCCCGAGGGCACTTGACGCATAGTGTAACGCAAGTGTTTTAGGCTATGCTTGGCAAAATAGCTAATAAGCTAGTTGTTGGCTGAAAAACTAGTCATTGTGGGTGAAAAGTAGTCATGTTGGGTGAAAACTAGCTAATAAGCTAGGTCACAATGTAGAATGACTTAAAGAACATGTTGAAAAATTAATTGGAAAAATATAAGGGGTATAATTGGAAGGAAAAGAAGTGGAAAAAGGTGTTTGGAGATTATGAAAATGCTATTTGAAGTAGCTTTTCAAAATGCTAGCTTATGCTAAGCCAAACAAGGCTTTCTCAATAAGATCAAAAAATAAGCTAGCTTTCTCAATAAGATCAAAAAATAAGCTATCTTTTGGTTGCCAAATATGGCCTAACTACTAGTCAAATGTATTAAAAACCCTTCCAAATAATGATGACGTAGAGAAATTTCTGGACCCAAGTCAATGAAATCTATTAATTGTAACGGAGAAAGTTCCATTAGGATCCCAAAATTGATTAGGAACCCGAGAACCACCCACAACTCGTCACAGGTCCCTCTTCAAGATGAATATTCAACATGAATCACACATTCATGATGAATATGTTACAACATTAACGATGAATTAACGCGTACATACTCCTGATGAATATGTCATGTGTCGTTCTGTGGGTGGTTACCAGGTTCTTAATAAATTTTAGGTTCCTAACTGAACCTCCCCCCATTGTAATGATGGCAGTGGGTAAGTATGTAATAGTAGTCAAAAAAGAAAGAAATGTTACAATTTTCACGGGAGGACCCAAAATGGAAAATGTTTCAACTTTGATGAAACAGATGAAGTGTGTGTGTGTGTAGAGAGAGAGAGGTTCACCACTAGGTTTCCAAACGCGTTGATCGGCACAAGGTTGCCAGGATGAAGCAACAACGTGATAGGGTTCCAACCATAAATCTTTGGGCTCGGTAGACTTATACTGATTCAGAAAACAGCCAAAATAAGCAACAAAGATGACAACCGTTTCTTGAAAAAATTATCTAAACTTACCTCTGCTAAAGCATGAGCAGCTTTATACAACAGTCTTGCATAAGCCGTTTTCTGCGGTTTCTTCCCTTTACCAATCTTTCTCAGTTCTTCCTGAGATTCATCAAAAGAATGTGTGGTGTGAATTGACCTGATGACCCACTAACTTGCACAAATAAAATTGAGCATAAGAGTTTGTAAACCCTATACTTCACATAGCTTTCTTTTCCCCTTTTTTTAAAAAAAGGTTATCATGATATGTGGAATGTTAAGTGAGAAGACACCCGCCACACCAAATAGAGAGATAAGAAGGCTACTGTGTGCATGATATGAAACCCCAAGTCGTTAAATGATGACAAGGATTTGTCCTTTAGATACCAGAGTCTTACGAGGGAGTCTTAAGGGGCCATTTACCAAATGCTTACCGGGCAAAAGTTATAGCTTATAACCCTCATTTACCTTGTCGGGTAACATTTTAGGCCATCAAAATGGATTGATTGTGAGTGTCTCTTACCCAATAAGCACTATTTGGGTAAGGGTCTTCTCCCTCACTTACCAGGTTAAGAACCTCGGTTATCGTCATGCCTCTTACAGGGTAAGATTCTAGGTCCTTGCCATGCTCACCTAGTAAGGTAAGTGACCTCGTAAGCATTTGGTAAACGGCCCCTTAGTTTTTCTACCTCTCTGTCTAGTAACGAGGGATCGTGTGAGAATAACAAATATAGTGAGAATGGTGTGAACAATTCTAAGCCCTTGGATGAGTTGACCTTTTAATCTAACTTAATATGTTTCAACTACATTCATCCATCTCCAATTACCTTCAATTATGTTCATCTACCTTCAATTTCACTCTTAAGTCATTTCACGAACTTCTTTACATACATTTAATCACTTTCACACGCATGAATTGTTAAAGTTTTGGTTATGATGATAAAAATAGGTAAATAAAGGTAGTTGGATGTAGATGAAGGTTTTGTTCTCACCATAACTCTTATTCTCATAGGAACCCAACCCTCTGTCTAGAATAGTATCTACTTGTGTGACATTGCTATTCTGCACCAGTCTTAGCTTTTCTTCTTGTACTAGTAGTTGTCAGTACTGCATTGTGTTCCTTTTTTGTTTGTTTTTAGCCTATTTTCCTCACATGTGTCCGTGCTGCCTATTCTGTTTTTGTGCCTGTTGAAAATTGCACACACTCCTACAGTATCTTGTTCTCTTGTTTCTTTTGATTTTTCGTTTTACAAGTGGGGGTCTTTACAGAATTATCCTCTCTACATCTTGGGGTAGAGGAAAACTTTGTGTATTACCCTACCCCAAGACCCTCCCTCTGCATGGAATGTACTGGGTTTGATTTGGTTTCGTAAGAATGTGTTACCTTTCCTTAGGGGGACAATTTAGCCTCTGTTTGAGCCTTGAGGGGCATGTTCAAGTTCCACTCCCACATAACCCAGACATGAACCATCAAACCAATATATATGTAGGAACCTCCCGTCTTTGTAAGGGCGAATTTAGAGAGAGGACTCAAAGGGGTTCCACATATCCATCCTATCATAGTATCAGGGCCAGGCTATGCTGTTAATTGCGGTGATATTGCGCCGCTGTTGCGGTGATATCTCAGATAGAGGGCTTGTGCAAAATATCGGTGGTAAAATTGCGGTTAAAATTGCGCTAGCGCAATTAGCAGTGCAATTTACCACAATTTTGACCGCTATTTAGTGAAAATTTCATTCTCAATTAACGCAATGCTTGAAGATGCCAGACTAGGGTAGCAGACTAGGGGGACATACGGCTAGCTGGGGTGGGGAAGAGTGGGAAGCTAGCCTAAACGAAGAAGTGAAAGTATTAGATGATGTTGACTCAGATGTTGAACCTATTGCTTGTGATTAGCTCGTTTGTGCACACTTTTCCTATTTTGCAAATGATATGTTTATGTAGACATATTATATATAATTATATATAATTCTAAGAAATATTATATGAACCGCTATTTCAAATATCGGTCCCGACCGCAATTTTGTATTTTCACCGCTATAACAGCATAGGGGCCAGGTCTAGCACCACCTCACGACTCGACAAACTATTTTGCCTCCATTCTTAGGGGCACCATCTAGCCTTCCGGTGTGTTGGAGTCCCACATAAGCTAGACATGAACCATCAAACATGTATATATGTAGGAACCTCCCCTCTATCTGTAAGGGCTAATTTAGAGAGAGGACACAAAGGGGTTCCACATATCCTATCATGGTATCAGATTTCAGGTCTAGCACCACCTAAGGACTCGACACACTATTTTTCCTCCGTTCATGGGGGCACCGTCTAGCCTCTTTTCAAGGGGCATATTGGAATCCCACATAAGCTAGACAAGAACCATCAAACCTGTATATATGTAGGAACCTCCCCTCTATCTGAAAGGACTAATTTAGAGGGTGGATTCAAAGGGGTTCACATATCCCTATCATGTAAGGGCTGTCTTAGAAACACAGTGGCGCACACACACACTTGGATGAGAGCTGAGAATGAATTGTGAACAAAATCAAGCTAAAATAAGTTATTTATTCAATTATACAACAAAATGCAGAAGGAAATCACCATTACAACATTCAATTTCAGCTCAAACGATCGAGGATCCAAAGTTAAACGACTGATAGAACCCAAAATAATTGATTTTTCGATCGAAGCAACCAAATTTTGCCCAAATTAGTGAGGTTTTAGAACAATTTAACTCGAAACATCAAAGATCCACCACAGAAATATAAAAATGAACAGAGAAATCTATTCAATTACCGGAACTGAGATTTTGGAAGAATTCGACTTCATGAACCGTAATTTGAGGCCTTTAACAGGACCCGAATCTTGGATCCGAGAAATCATCCAAAAATTCATAACAATGAAGAATGCAAGCAGAATCCCAAATGCTAATCGGCTTCGATTCGAAGCTATTTTGAAACCCATCATTTTCTTCCTCATCATTATATGCATCTTCTGCTGCTGTTTTTGCTCCATATTTACAGAACCCAACGAAAAGCTACAAGAAATCGAACTAATCTATATCCAAACAACGATCCATATCCAGAATCAGTGATGATATTTGTGGATTTGCAGTCTGGGTTTTGGTCACTGGAAGCAAACCAAATTGAGGGATGTGTGGAGTCAGATTTTGTAGAGATTTGTTGGATTGCGATGGGGGGTTTTGCAAATCTTTCTTTGTTGGGATGAAAATGAAAGCAAAAATTCCCAAAAAAAGGATTTTTTTTTTTTTTGCATGTCACTTCTTTTCATATGCTTTCTTTGTAGAATTTGCAACTTTTGATGGTGTAATTAATTCATATGCATTTATTGAATCTTGATTAAGAAATCAAAATTTTAGTTTTTTTATAAAATGTATTTTCATTCCATCATAAAATAACGCACATGAATTATATGTTGGATAAATTACATCAAAAAGTAACGTAGTTTAACTCGATTCCTATTTTGAATAACGTATTCTCGAAACTTTCATTTTAGTATCTAAGATGTAATATTAAACATTTAAGTATTCGGGTAACTAGTTGAAGCATTAATCGTTTACCATGTTGATGTGACGAGTAATATGGTATCAAACTCAGTATTATTTGCTATTTAACTCAATTTCATCTCATTACTCGCCACATCAGCATGATAACCGATTAATGTTTCAACTTATTACACAAGTATTTAAAATTTTACATCTTATGTACTAAAATAAAAGTTTTAAAAGTACGTTACCCGAAATATGAATCAAGTTAAAGTATTTTACTGTTTAATACAATTTACCCTTATATGTTATATACTAAAAAAGTATTTATTAATTACATACATTTTTTATTGAATATTTTGGGATTGTTATGATATTTTCATCATGAATTTTTATTTTTAATTTATTATTTAATTTGACTAATTACTAAAAATTGGTTAAAAATAATCTAGTTCATATAAGTACTTATGTTTTGTCCATGTAAAGCGTTCATACGTTGGGTTGATCGGCTTGAATACATTTGAACAACCTAACTTAATGCTTACAGTTTGAAAAATATTAACTCAATCCAAACCAAAATGCAACCAATCCAACTCAAATCGTACGGGTTAATCGAGTCAGTCGGGTTGGTTTGGTTGATATTTTGATACATTAAAATATTTTTCTAACCTTGAATATGTATTTTCTTTGCTCATTATTTTTTTTTCATCATCAATAATTTGATACAACTTATCTATACTTCTTGTATATATCACATTCAATTAATTTTCTCAATTTACATATATATGTTCACAGTTACATAACATATATACGAATGAGTTATATATAGATGGAGAATAGATTGAAAAAAAAAAAATATATATATATATATATATATATAAAGAGCGTACATGGTAAGTGTAATTGTCAGATGTATATATTAATATAAACTCAACAATCATATTAAATCCAATAAATAAAATGATATCTGGTTCATTGGGTTGGATAAAGTTCAAATAATAGTAACATAATACCTACAGTTTGAACATTTTACAATTCGATTAGATATCGGGTTGTTTCGAGTTGGGTTATTTCGCATTAGGACCATGTGTAGATATATAATTTTTAATTTTATATATATATATATATATATATATATTTATAAAAGTAATAATTCTTTGTGTAGCTATATATTTTTAAATTAATAATCCTAATTTAGTAAATATTATAAAATATAATTATTTAATTAATTAATCATATTGCCCGTGACTAAAGAATCAAACAACATGTACATCTTGTCTATATTATATTTATGCAAAGATCTATTCATCAGAATTTTCCCCACATGGATATCACATCATTCAACATTCATTCTATTTTTATTTTATATTATTATGAATTATATTTACAATATATATTTTATTTTACAATATTTATTTCATTTAAATATAGTATTTAATGTATTGGTTAACATACATCTGTTTAACAATGTGTTTGTTTTATATGTTTTCGGTTAACAATGTGAAATTTTTTTATGTGTATTCACAAACACGTCAAAAATGTTCATATTGTGAATTAAATACATGTTAAACAAATATATGTTAATCGATATTCTAAATGCTAGTCTAAATTAAAAAAAATCATATAAAATAACACATAATACACTAGTTTTCAAGATTATCACAATTTTTATGATAATTTTGTTTTTTATAACACACTTCACTTCTGCCTTTATTTCTTGTATGACCAACCTTATGTTGGTTGACAATTAAGATGGTGGAAAAAACTATATCAACCATATGAAAATGAAAATTACAGGGAATATGTTCTGATCCTAAAGAAAGTTGGGTTGGGAACTATATTTCCATGTCGAACTGGGGAACTAACGCGACGGTCCCACGTGTCCGTATCATCACGAATAATGGATGTCTCGGACATGTGACATGGTCTTAATGGTTTCCTAGTTTGCAACAAAATGTCGTTCTTAACCGAACTTGCCCCTATATTAAGGGGCTATTTAGGTAAATAACCCCTCCCCCCTCTCCCACCCGGGCAGACTCTTGAACACGTCAAGTGTACGTAACATTCACAATATATAAGTATAATCATTTACAAACTCAATAAACCGTACAAACTTACTAGCTTTCATAAGTTGTTTCACATATGAAACAACATGTATGAAAATGCAGGGTTTATATAGTGTTGTTTCATATCCAACGTTTCAAATATGAAACAACATTGCATTTTCACACATAAAAACCAGTTTATAAGTTTATACAGATTATTGGGTTTGTAAAAGAAGGAGACTCTGCTCGTATTAGGACTTGATAAACACACCAAAAAGGATGACTTTTTAACAGTTTCTCTAAAGTTGGTCACCACAAATAGCTTACAAGATACACTTGAAAAGTAACAAAAAAATAGAATTTAGAAAAAAGATAAAAAGTCAAAAAGTCAAAGATCTTTTTCTTTCATACAAATATATAAACTATCATGAATGTATATATATTTACCTTAACTTGAACTTCAAGTGACCATCTTCAGATGTAAAACGAATTAGATAATATATATATATATATATATAGACTCACTCCAGATCTTTTCTTCATCAATGTTGACTCTTTGACCTTGCGGAAATATATGCGAAAATTGCAAGGTTCCGTGTGCCGAAAACTTCTGTGTTAATATGACATCTCATACGCCTCGTGATCTGGGGTTTTGTATATGAATCCCGAATCATCACTTGATCGTCTCTTGACCACACTTGCCCTTTGCATAAGCCGAACCAATGCTTGCACAACTTCAGACATCGGAGGCCGGAACTCTGGTTCAGGCTGTATAAACCAAATCAAACAAAGCCAATGAATCACACCGGAAAGATGGTGTTTTTCTCATCTGTCTAGAACTAGAAGGAAATTAATTACTCCATCAATCCCAAGAGAATTGCAAGATTCCTCTTTTTGCGAGTTTCACATTCAAATTGCTTATCTTGTGCACAATAAGTGTTTACATTTAATGAGGTTAATAAGACCTACAACTTATTCGGTCAGCTATACATGACCGCTCGGTAGTGGCTTAATGATATAGAAAGTGACTAATTCAGTAAGCATACAGAAGGGACCTGAAGTCAAGTTCTTTTTCCAAATCTGTCAATTCCAATTAAAAAACATCCTCGTTCCATCTATATGAAAAAACCCACCTAAACAAAAACACTCTCAATTTATATAGACAAATGAATTCATATAGTTAGCTTTATTCGTACAGGATTTAACGGAAAACCAACCAAACAACCCCTAGTTTGTCCCAGAAACAAGTGTCCACTTTCAAAAGTAAAACGCCTATTTTCCAATTCTATCCTTAATTATGAGATGAAGAAATTCATTACTCTAGAGTGTTATTAAGGGTACAATTGTCATTTAGTTAATTAAAAGATGTAAAAATTACACATTTCTAAAACTACGTGTCTTTTTAAATTATAAATGATAAAAGCTCAAGCTTTATAAATTAAGGAAATGCTAAAGTATTTAAACCAAACCGAACAAGCTTAGTATATCCCACCCGGAGGTGGGTCAGTGGAGGGTAAGATGTATTTAGACCAGATCTCTACCACAAAAGTTAACTGAAAATGTGTTTCCCTGAAAATCCGGCGGCTTGTGAAAAGTGTGAGACAGAGAAAAGCGGTTAAAGGTTAAATTAAAAAAACCAGATATAAGTAATCAATAACAATACAAATAGAGGCAACTATTGGAAGACAGTAAAACATAACTATCGACTCACTAACCGAGATAAATGTAACAAGTGAGTCTCAAGAACTTTACCTGAACGCAAAGGGCGATTATGTCAGCAAACCGTGATAACGACTTGGCCGGATACATGCCATTCAGTGTAGGATCAACCATTTTCGCCAACGAGTCGATATCATGGAGTTGAGGGGTGGCCCATCTTACAAGTGATTGTTCCGATCTCACTCTCGAACTACATGCCCAGAAAAAAGGCAAAAAGAGCGAATGTATTCGTTGAAGCAAGCGAGAAACACAATTTAGGGCTTGTTTGTTAAAAACTTAATGAGCTTAATGGGACTCAGCTTATTCGGTCAGTTATACATGAATGTTGATAGTGTCTTAATGATAAAGAAAGTGGCTTATGCAGTAAGCTTCTAGGGGGAGCTTCATGCAGAAAGCCAAGTTTTTACCAAACTTGTCCCTCCTAGTTAAAGAAACACGATACTTCCATCTAGGAAAAAACCCTCCCAAACAAAAGTCCTCTCAATCTATACAGACAGAATAATCCACAAAATCAGCTTTATACATACAGGACTTAATGGAAAACCAACCAAACAGCCCCAAACACAAGATATCATTGATGAAAAACAATGATAATGTAAAATGACCTAAAAGGACATGTTAATATAAGTGGCATAATTGTAAAAAGAAGTAGAAAATAGCCGTTGGAGCGTATTCACCCGCTACTTGAAGTAGCTTTTCAAAAAGTAAGCTTTATGGCTAACTAGACGGTGCTTTTTCAATAAGCTACAAAAGTAAGCTAGTTTATGGTTGTCAAATCATCACGTTGTTCGGTCGTATAATAAATAATTGAAGGTTTACCTGTCCAATGGCTTCCGACCGGTCAACAGCTCCAACATCACCACTCCGAAACTATAAACGTCACTTTTTACGGTGTATATGCCAGACAAGGCAAATTCAGGAGCACTATAACCAAATGAGCCAACCACCTGTGTAGAAACCTGTAGTTGGGGAAGCCAAATTATGACGCCCGTTAGAGATGAGAGATGAGAAAAGAATATGAAATAGAGCTACATAGTTTTCACAAAAACAATTGTTCTACTCTTTGGGTAGAGGTCAAATTTGCGTACATCTTACCCTCCACGGACCCTATCTCAGGTGGGATATACTGGGATCGTTTGGTTAAAACTTACAAACAACTCCAACAGATTCTCTATAATTTCTCTAAAATAGAAAATTGAGGTTAAAATCTCTTAAAAATGATGCTTAACTCCAATAGGTTCTCAATTTTAGAGATTGCAACATTGATTATATTATTAATCAGAGGGAGGTTCATTTAGAAACATTTAATATTTCAAGAACCCATAAACCACCCTTTTGTGAGTAACAAGTATTCATGACGAATGTCGTAAAAGATATTTATGATACTTACAAAAAGGGTGGTGGTTCTTGGGTTCCTAAGATATTTAAGTTCCTAAACGAACCTGCCCCTATTAAATATATAATATTTTCAAAAATTTATCATCCCAATACACTAAATAACAATTAAATGAAATACTAATACATTCAACTTCATTGGTGGGGAAGAATTAAAATTTCATTTCCACCGCCTCATATTAAAGCATAAGGAACTCTATAAATTTAGAGAATTTTATCTTCCTCTCTTATTTTCTCTATTTTAGAGAACCATTTAGAGAATCTATTAGAGCACAAATATCACCAAACTCTTTACTTTCTCTATTTTAGAGAACCATTTAGAGAATCTATTAGAGCACAAATATCACCAAACTCTTTACTTTCTCTATTTTAGAGAACCATTTAGAGAATCTATTAGAGCACAAATATCACCAAACTCTTTACTTTCTCTATTTTAGAGAATCCGCTGAAGATGCTCTTATGAACTCAAGCTACATATACCAACTTCGGGGCTGGGTTCCTGTGAAACCACCTTGTTTTTGTGAGACCAACTGTGAAGGCACAAAAACACACTGAACCTTCAGAGTTCTTTGCTGTGAAGGTTCAATGTCTTTGTGTATGTTCACAGTGTTTTGTTGAGAAGGTTCGATGTTTCTTTGTGGTCCCACAGTTCTCGAGAAAGGCTGGTCTCACATGATCCCAAGTTTGCCAACTTCATTAAATTTACCTCTCGCTCTGTGTTTGGTGTAAGAGCGGCTAAACCACAGTCTGATAAATGAGGATTGAGTTCTTCATCAAGTAGAATATTTGCAGACTTTAAGTTTCTATGTACAACAGAAGGTAAGCAAACTTCATGCAAATACCTGCCCACGAAAACGGTTTCCATTAAAGCCAGAAAAACAGTGACAATGATTGCAAATCCAAACTTATGTATTGTGACATACTCAAGAGCTCGAGCAGTGCCAAGTGCAACCCGAACACGGGCGTTCCATGTCAACGTCTTGCTCCGATCATCAGCGAAATGAAGCAAATCTTGCAAGCTCCCATTTGCGATGTAATCATAAACCAAAAGACGTTGCCCATGCTCTGCACAATATCCCGCTAGTGGAACTATATTTGGGTGCCTCAAGCGTGACATGTTTGAGACAGCTTCAACGAAATTATCTTCTTCTTGCAGTGATAATGCCGCATTGTCTATCTTCTTAACGGCCATGATCTAGGACAAAACAAATGTTAAGAACACCAAAACTTTTCCACATGTGCACAAGGCACTACAACAAAATCGGCTTTATAGAACGTCAAATATGTCTAAGAGTCTGTTTGTTAGAAGCTTAATGGGACTCGCAGCTTATTCGATCAACTATACGTGACTGTTTGGTAGTGGCTTATTCAGTAAGCTTCTAGGGGAGAGCTTTATGCAGAGAGTCAAGTCTTCTCCAGACCTACCCCCTCCCAATTAAAAAACTTCCATCTATGAAAAAACCCTCTCAAAGAAAAAACCTTCCTAATCTATACAAGCAAATTAATCCACACAGACAACTTTATCCATACAAGACTTAATGGATAACCAACCAAACAACCTCTAAATGTCTTAATAGACAGCTTTATTGATTAGGACCAAACAACTATGCGTCCAATCTTAAGGTGTTACAATAAGTTGATAGGACACTACTGGGAGTCCTAACAAGTTGTTTAGGACAATAAACAATTGTGAAATAAAGCATCCTTTCAGTCTTTTTATATGACATTATCTGAAAAGGTGTTGTAAAAAAATACGTGTTCGTAGAACACTTCTCAAAAATGTCATAAAAAATGCAAATAAGATACTTGGGGCCAGTCAAATAAGAAAGCGAAATATCATGAGAAGGTAAGAAAGGAAGTTTCATATGTGAATCGTTGAAAAAATCCATTTGAAGATGCATATGTGAACTCACACGAATAATCTGTAACATCAATTCACATGTGCATCTCCAAATGGAATTTTTTTCAGATTTTTCAAGTGATTCACATGTGAACCTTCTCTTAACCTTCCCTTCTTACCTCCTCGCAATATTTAGCCTTCTTATTTGAACCTCCCTCCCACTAAGACACTTTATTTCAAAAAGTGTGCAAAAGAACTTGTTAGGATGCCCAAATACGTCCTAACATGTTATTGTAGCATTTTATATAGGACGCACAGTTTTTTGGTCCTATAAAGCAGTCTAATAGGATGTTTAGATATCTTTGGTGTCCTATAAAAACGATTTTGTTGTAGTGAGGGTAGTAACATCATATAGAAGAAATGAATCTATTGTATCTACCTTTCCACCGGGGAAATCGGCTTTATAAACACGACCCAAAGAACCTTCACCGATTATATTGTCCTGAGAGAAACTGTTTGTTGCTGTTTGTAGAGTTGCAACCGTGTACGAACTAGTGGTTATTGGGGATTTCACTCTCTTTGTAGATCCATTTTTCCCTCGTTCAAATGTCGAGTTTTCTGTTGGTGGGGGCTTCAAATCAACGATGCTAGCTGCGGGTTTTATCCTCTGCTCTTGCATTTCTGCATTAACTGCAGAAGAAATTAAAGATTATTAGATAATTAAGGAAAAAAATTAATAATAACACCCAACATTTCTACTTATAAATTCCAACAAGTTATAATGGTGATTGGTCATAAATTTGTAACAAAATTATACAGAGTAAATGATGCGGGCCTAGACATGGAGGACCAGGTCTTATTGTTCCTGGAGGCCCATGACCGGCAAACAGGGGTGTCATGCTTAAATGCACATAACTTTCGCTACGGGTCTTCATCAGTCCCACGATACACAGATTCCAAGCTTGGAACGAGGAGCATGCCCTGGGTACAAGCTGAAGGGGCCTATGGGATTGTTTAGGCCAAAAAACGTCGTTTAAGCATGTTTTGGGATACTTTTTTGCTATGTTTTTCATCTTCAGTTTGGGCTTTTATGTTTGGATCATCATCTTTTCTAGGCCCAATCTGAATGGTCAGTTGATCAATACAGAAGTTTTCATTTTCCATCCAAATTATGAGTTCACTATGAATTCGAATTTAAGCCTAAAGCTCGTTTTTTGTTTAATCAATGAGCTATAGAAGAGATAATTCTGGGTATTCACAGGATCAACAGGTTTAATCTTTGTTTCAATTTTCGGACGCTTTATAACAAGATTATGCAGAGTAAACACCTAAACATTCTCTAAAATCTAGAATTTGCAATGACCAATAAAAGGACAAAAAATAATAAGTTTAGGGTGAAATCTTTTGTGATAAATTGCAGAAAATAGAGGAGATGAACCTTTCTCGCCACCGATAGGAAGGTTTCCTGTGGAAGTTCTTGCAGCATTTTCCTTCCCTTTCCCTTTCCCTTTTCGAAGGCAGAAAAGAAGCACAAGAACTATAACAAGTATCAAGAATGCAGAACCCAAACTTACACCTACAATAACTCCAATGCTCAACTTTTTTCCACTGCTCGTATCTGATGATGGCTCATGAGACCCTGTAGGTGTACGTGATGGTGGAGAATGGCTGCGATTATTACGAGATTTACCAGGAGGTGGCGGTGTGAATGGAGGTGGAGGAGGAGCAGGGCCGTTGTCAAACGTATTCCCACCGTATCTGTTTCATTTGAAAAGAGACCAGAATAAGTGCATAGGATAAGAGAATCCTCGTATACATGGCTGGAAGTGTAATATCTTACGTAAAAGTAGGAACAGAAAGAAGCTCCCGTGGTATCCATCCACTGAAATGGTTGTTTGCTATATTTCTGTGATAAAGATAAGCCATAAGATAACAAACAACAATTTAGCTTAATCTATACAGACAGCTTAAGCTATACAGGGCTTAATGAAAAACGACCAAACAGACCCTTAGATGAGAATTTGAACTTACAAATCAGTCAAAGGCAAACCAACCAAAGCATTTAAAGAACCCGTTAATTGATTGTTCTGCACATGACTGCCAGAAAATGAATGCATCATTAGAATTCAAATGAACCAACAATTTAGCAATGAGTAGCCATAAAGAAAGAGATCTACATTGTTGAAATGCTCGACAATGAACTGAGAGAATTCGGTAGATCTCCAGTGAAGTTGTTGTTCGAGAGATCCCTGCATCAACAGGTAGAAAGTTAGAATCTTTGTAATTTGTTTCTATCAAAGTTGTGTAATGCAATCTCAGTAATAATAAAGATTTTTTTTCGTCACATATATCTTTACCCTTCAAATTATGAATTAAATGTTATGCTTCATTGGTTACCATAAACCAAACGATCCCAATATACCTTCATGGGAGGATCATCACCGTGTTATCATAAGTAAATTGTTCATGGCATACTATGTCTTAGTATGAAAGTGCGGTTAATGTAAATGTTATTTTATCAGGGAATAAAAATTATGAATGCATATAACAAACAAAAAAGAACCCTCGAGTATTTCACTTTGAACTTACAAAGTAGCAAGACTAGTAAGATTGCTGAATATATCTCCAATAGTCTGAGAGAGCGCATTGCGACTAAGGTTCCTGGAAACCAAAAACTATAGGATTAAGTTTTCTGTAAAATAGCAAGATGCATGAGTGGCGTTTATCCTGGTGTGGCTCTCACATGTAATTCAGATTAAACATCAATGCAACCGAATACGGAAGATTTCCACTTAAATTGTTGTTTGCAAGATTTCTGCACAGTTAAAAATGTGTATTAGCATCATAATGACGGAATTATACCGAAAAGCTAAGAGGCTGTTTACCAAACGCTTACCGGGTGTCACTTAACGGGTAAGCATGGCAAGGACCAAGAATCTTACCGAGTAAGTGAGGGAGAAGACTCTTACCTGATTAGTGCTTACTAGGTAAGAGACGTTTACCAACAATCCATTTTGATGGCTAAGAATGTTACTCGATAAGGTAAGTGATGGTTGTGATTCTTGCCAGCTTACCCAGTGAGCATTTAGTAAACGGCCCTTAAGAAGAAATAAAGAAAGATCCACTAAGATTGAATACTACAAGCTAGTAAGATTTGGTGGTAACTGATACGGAAGTGCATCGTGAATGTTGTTTCCACTTAAATCCCTATTAGATAAAAACCAAGATGATGAAACATATCAGAAACTCGTAAAGCAGCAGTCTTGTAGACTATTCTCGGGGAAATTAGAGATGTTATCTCACAATGTCTTCAGTGAAGCGAGACCCGACAACATGTATCCTAATGCCCCATCAATCCCTAAACCAGGAAGTTGACTGTCAAAGCAACAACAATGAAACCGATTATTGAACAGTAAAAACAGAAAGAAAAAAAAAGTAAAGTTGTCTGCGTAAATAGTAATATAGGATGCTAGTTCAAATAAGAAGGCTAAATATCGTGAGAGAAGTTAAGAAGGGATATTTAAGGCAAGGTCCATATATGAATCATTGAAAAAATCCAAATATATATATATTTGAAGATGCATATGTGAACCGATGTTACAGACTATTCATATGGGTTCATATATACATCTTCAAATGAATATTTTCAATGATTCTCATATGAACCTTTCCTTAACTTTCCTTTCTTACCTTCTCAAGATATTTGGCCTTCTTAAATGTACATCTTTCACATTAGAGGACGGTAAATGAAAACTGTAAATATTTCGAAGAACCTGGAGCCAACTATTTCATAAGTTATTCATGATGAATAACCTTAAAATATTCATAAAATCACACGATTTTCATTATTCATGATATTCATTCTGAATAGTTGGTTTCCAGCTCTCAAAATATTCAGTTCTCATTTAAACCTGCCTCTATGTTAACCGAGGGATATGATATAAGCAGAAAAAGTTACAAGATTCAGTAATTAATTGAAATTACTGAACTCACATGGAAACAACAGCGGAACCGTCACACCTAACCCCTCTCCATGACTCGCCACATGGGTCACTGGTAGTATTTTTCCAATTTGTTAGTTGTGCATCATTGTTCAAAGATGTGAACAGCACCTGTAGCGCTTGAACTGCAACCAAACAAAAACTTTTATGCCCCACAGAAACCTTGAACCTCACTTTTACACCTAATTTTAAGCAAAAAAGGTTGATTACGGCAACCCTGACCAGCCCCACATGGAACCTCCCCCTAGAAACCACATGTGAGAAGGCATTTCAGAGCTGACTCAGCGGCTGAGGCTCACAGAGGGGTTCAAGCCCATCTCCCATAGGATTCGAACTTGAACCTGTTGTGTATTTGAGCAAAGTCGCTCCGCCCCTTTGCCAACTAAGCTATACGCCCAAGAGCATTTTACACCTAATAGGGATACAATTGTATAGCCACTCTATCCTTTGGGGTAGAGGCAAAGTCTGAGTACAATACATCCTAATCCCAGACCCTAGTGGATATATTGGGTTTGTTTGGTTTAGTTTGGTTCTTTAACGAAAAAATTGTATACACCCTAACTTTAAGTTGCAAAATAAAAATACATCACAAGATTATCTTTTCTTTGCTTACGGTCCAAAATCAAGTGCTTCATTGTTGACCAGCATAGAATGTCAAACCAAACAAATATAACTGAAACCAATCCCTAAATCACAACATTTGTCACATACAAACCTTTCATATTTCATTTACCCTCTTAATAGATCATCTAGTTTAGAAATACAGAAACAAGCAAACCATAGTGCAACTTCAAAATGGTTTTGAATATTTTGGACTTTCGTAGGAACTCAGACAACAAGATTAAACTCTAGACTCTCATTGTTCTAGAATTGCTATAAAAAGAGGTGTAACTTTAGATTTCAAATAGGTTGCATTCCAATTAAACTTGGAATAGTATTATGAACTTCAATAGAAAGATTAGTCAACCAGAGATTTTACGACAGACAGTACAAATAGCAATCAAACTTGCAACAAAATAATAAGCCTTTTTTCTAGAAAGAGTCAAGAAATGGCTATTTAGCATAAATCAAAGACCAAGCTGGCTGTCAGATGAAGGTCATTGACCTAAGAAATGGCTATTTAACGCTGATAATTCAATGGACCTCAAAGGTGGGGTCCGATCACATGACCATTAGATCTTCAGGGGGAAGTCTCGAGCACTTGAACAAGACCCTGACTGCCCTCAAAATCATAGGTAGATTGCTTGAAATCAAATATCTTTGTGATAGATCACTTTCCGGAACCGGTGGAATGAAAATATTTGGTTCTAATTTGAACTAGAAAATTAATAGGTGCCTAGGCGTAACGGAGATGGAGGAAACATAAAAGAAGAAAGAAAAACCTAACCCATCATAAAACCATTACACCATTAAATCATTCAATCAACAATTTGCACAAATCACACACATAGAAAGCCTAGTGAAATACTTTGTAATCAGAAATTTTACCCTCTTACGGTGATTTCCTTTGGATAAATCATAAATGACCTAAGCTTTTTTAGGTCAATGGCCTTCATCCGACAGCCAACCCCGGTTAAAAACAGCATGCCACCATAAAAACTTAGTAATACACTAAAAGGGTCATTTTGCAAAACCAGTTTCCCTAAATGTCAATGAGCTAAATATCCCTTTCTTGACACTATCTGAAAAAACATATGATTATGTTGCAAGTTTGATTGCTATAAAATGATCTCTGTTGACTAATCTTTCTTTGAAGTTCATAATACTATTCCATGATGAGTTGAAAACATTAACCCATTTGATATCTAAACTTAGACCTCTTCTTTTTATACAATAATGAGACTCCAAAGTTCTATCTTGTTGTCTGAGTTCCCATGAAAATCCAAAATATTCAAAACAATTTTGAACTTAGCACTATACTCTGTAATCAGAAAGACAGACTCCTGGTGAAAAATACTTCTATAATCCGAAATCGTCAGCCTCAAATTCCAACATTTCCTAAACAAAAATCAGATCATTCAATCCAAAAACACATAAACTTTCAACAAAATCAAACCAAAAAGTACCAAATACACCGAAACAAATCAATAAATACAAAATGTAAGAAGCATTTAGCATTACCATCACTTGGATCAGTAGTGCCATGGACAAAACTCAATGAAACAAAGATCGCCGCAACCAGCTTCAGTAGCAGAAACTGATCGCACCTATTTCTCCCCATTTCAGATCTTTTTAAGCAGTGATCGAACCAGAGATTGACCTAGAAGAAGACATGGAGTAGCAGAAGCAACGTAATGAAGAAAAAGAGGTAGGTTTTGCCATTTACAGAGAGAGAGAGAGATTCGAAGCTTGGTTTGCAGAGTAATGAAGAGGAGAGAGAGAGAGTGTGAAGTAGGAAGAACATACAGAGAAGGTGTCGGCGAACAAACTCAAAATTAGTATTTTATTTTTATATTTGTTTAATTAATAATTAATAAATTAATAATTCATTAAAATTAATTAATATGGAAAGTTGAATAAAAATTATTTTATACCAACTCTTCTTTTGTCCAATTTTTACTTTATAATTTATTATTGGAGTTTAATTATTTGAGAACTTTAAAATTTGTGAGATCTATCAGAATTTTTATTTTAATGTATTGATTAACCCTAACTATCAGCTCTTGCCGGAACTGTGTTATTGGAGCCCAGCCAGAAATGGTCGTTAGTGGATACCCACCTTCACTGGTAAGACTTTCGATATCTCTCTTTCCGTTTGTTAGGTAAGATTCTCTGTTCTGATCATGTCTATATGATAATTGAACTGATTAATACGTACCACGGTAAGTGTTTTATGAATGGTCCTTTAGGGCCAAGTTATGATGCAACGTGTACCTCTTATTAATGAATAATCTCTTAAAATTAAAGTTTATATATATCATATTATAAAACATTTGATAAATACTTTTAAAAACTATTATTTATGTATGAAGTACTATTTATTAATATATATTATTTAAAATTTAAGATTGCAAGTAAATTGTGCTTAAGTACAACTTATTAAAGCTCAATTTTGAATTCGTATAACTGCCCGCAAATAAACATAATTAAATACAAAATAAACATCTCATTTTATATATAAAAAATCTAAAATGTAATTAAGATAATCATTGAGTTCTAACATAATCATTATCTTTATAAAAATTATATTGTTAAGCCAAAAATAAATTACTTTGCTATTAGAACTAAATTAAATTATAATAAAAATTAAATTAAAGAAATTATAAGAAAAACAATAACTTTTAAATAGTTAATTTGATATTAATATCGATATATTTTTTTCAAAATTTTATGATATCTTCAAATGTATTTTTATTTAAAAGTAAAAACATCATTTTTATCAAAACCACATAAATCGTATTATATATCAACAAAGACAAAAAATAAAATAAACCATTAAAATGAAGATATATCTTGTTGCATTATGCGAGCATCATTCTAATAATTTATTAATACATGCATACAATTTCATTTTAACTTCAAAATCGGTCGATAAACATGTCCAAATACAAAATAAATAATAAGTAGTATTAATACGATATAATATTTTTTTTTAATCGGATTTTGTTTTTAATCAAGAATTAAATTATCATTTATAATAAAGTTTAAAATCGTGTTATATTACAAAAATACAAAATTAGATATGTATTTAAATAGTATTGCGTGCATTTTGTTAACCCACGTAAAAAAAACGCATGGGCATAAAAGTAAATTCACACTCGATAGAATATATTTACGTTATTTTACCATGCACTATTTAATAATTTATAATTTATTGGGAATTCCAATTTATTTTTTTAATTGGAAAAAAATACAAAATAAAACCAAAAGGGAATCTCCACTGAAAAAGTGGGGTTAAATCCGGCAAGCAAAGCATATAAAATAGTAATCCATCTTTTCAGGTGGCTTTCCCTATCTATTTAAATTTTCATAATACCCCCATGTGATTCAACAAATTGTTTGTTTAACCCAAAAGTTTGGAAAATTGTACAATCCACCCTGTGTGCAAAAAAACGTTATGTCATGTTTTTATTATCTCGAGATAAACATCAACATTTGTCTGGTATTTTTTTGGATGGATATAACGTTTTATTCTGTATATTAAAAGAAAATACAAGTGTACAAGGAAACGAAAGCGGTTAATTCTATGAGAAGCAAAAAACAAGTCGACAAAGAAGAGCTCAAACGCATGAAAAACCAAAACAAGATTGAAAAGGAAACGGCGAAAAAAACACGGCCAACCGAACAACAACGATACCAACCAAAGCTAACAACCAAGAAGCAGAAACCTATAAATGGTCGACGAAACCTTGAGCGATGCACCAATCTTCCCAAGAGATATTTAGGTTCGACCCAAATCGAAGTCCACTGGAGAAGATAAATACATGTTTGTTATGATGCATTCAAATTGAATAGAAAGTTACCCAGACAATCGCATTCCAAGCATGTCATGTCGACTTCAGGATATAGTGTGAGTCTGTAGAAGAAAACATATCATCTATTGATGATATCGTTATTTGTTATGGATGTTTACGACATGGTATAAATGGTATAACCCCTTTTAACGGACCAAACTGCAAGTGTGGTTTAAAATGTACAAACTCTGAGGTTTGACATTCGGTGAGCAAACCAGGTTAGACCAGATCATAAAAATATGATTTGGTCTAACTTGGTCTCCAATATTTGAAACTTATTATAGGATGAGATGCATCAGATCGGTTCCCAAATCAAGATATTATCATTCTTAGATGCACATTAGGAAGAGATGCATCGGATCGGTTCTCAAATCAAGCGTGATTCATGGGTTTGTTTTAGATTAAAGGTGATTAATAGTCCAAATTCCTTCTTACGCTTATCACCTTAACTTTCTTTCTCACATGATACTTCGTTTATAATAGCATGCTTTATATTTTAGCTTATTTAATATATTTATATATAAACTACGACTAATATATAATGTCCACTCTTAAAGTCGTTACTTTTTAAAAATATATACATATATAATTGCAAATTGGGACAACAACAGCATAACTATTTTCAAACCAAATCGCACCGTTAAACCTTAAAAATCAAAGAAAAAAAACGATGTGGTTTGGTCTTGTTTGATCGGTTATTATAGTTCAACGATTTTTTCGAACACTCTAATATATTGCTTTAAAGCAGATGATTGCTTGAGACTGACAAAAAAAGTTATAATCAGATCGGTGATCAGAGTAGAAGAATAAATATTGAGAAAGTATGAGGGTGTAAAGTGACTATTTCTTGGCTATAAGGACTAAATTAGAAAAATTCAAAACCAAGGGTAGTAAAAACATAAAGGTTCATATCATCAATAAAATGACAAAAATATCCATTTCACTCGTGAGTATTACAGCTACCGTTTTACTTTAGGACCACCGACGAGAAGGGCATATTGGGCAGAAAGAGCCAATTGAAATGACCAAAAGATCCTTATAAAAGGCACCTTTTTCAAGCATTTGACTTCGGAGTTTTGTGTTTGGGAAGACACCTTTTTGCCCCGGGGGAGAAATTCATGAAAGTAATGCTTTTAGTTTATTGAAATATATATATATATATATATGTATATAATATATAATGTTATGAATAATCATTATTATTTTATTGTTTAATAATAAAATAATAAAATAATAAAATTTAAATAACCTTTTCTCTCTTTTTCATACAATTCTTTAAATTTATCGTATCTTATTATTAGACAAATAAATGAAAAGGTGTATCGGGAATTGAACATACACACATACATATATATATATATATATATATATGTCGGGTCCAGGAAAAAACTGTAAAAAGATGAGAAAAACATTGATAATCGTACGTCAGAATCGAATGTATATATGTATATAAATAATTTGTAAGCAATTTGTCTAGTATGTACATGTACATAATATGTTCACGTATATAAAAATAAAGAACAACTTCAATCATTACATGCATATGTACATATTGTCCAAATGAATGATTATTAAGGTGTTTCTTATGTTTTTTTTTATTTTTTGGGATGTTTTTCACTGAACCTCTCCTCTCTCTCTATATATATATTATATTAAGAAGACTATAATTACTGAGATTTATGAGAACCAGTGCATTATTTTTTATTTTATCTGATTTTTTTATTTAAGGTAGAAATTTAATTTAGTGATTAACATATATTTATTTCGCAATATGTTTGTTTTACATGTACTCGGTATATAATAATTGAGTGCATTTAAATGTTTAATAAGTAATTAATTCTGTAATTAAATATTGTTTTAAAAAAATTGTAATTGGAGACAATTGGAATTCAACATGACAAACAATAATTCCACTTTTTAAGATTCTTTGGTCAATAATAAATATAATTTATTTAATAATAATTAGTCTTATTTTAATTGAATTTTTATTTACTAATTGTGACCCATAATTATTAATTACCTTTTAGACGCTTTAATTATTATTTTCTAATTAATGTGGATAAAGTGAAAATCTATTATTCACTTTATCATGCATGTTAATTATGAGTGTATAAAGATATAGGAATGATGATTTCCCAGAACCCGGTAGGGAACTCGGCTCATCCAATCTGAACGGGGACGAGAATTCTTTGCTTAAACGGATCCAGGGGTCGGGGATTCCTGGTGGAATCAAACCGGGGTTGGGGTCAGGTAGCGTATCCCCGACCCGCCCCCTAGTATATTATTTTATTGAATATTTTTTATAATATGTATATACATATATTATTTATTTTCCAAAATTAAGTCTTGACCGAAGACGAGGATCGAGGTTTGACCAGAAAATAAAAGCATTTTAATATTACACTTTTTTTTAAAAATGGTTGCTTATTGGCAAACCTGATCGACCCTACACACAATGAGGTATTTCAGAGCTGGCTTAATGATTAAGGGTTGGAAAGGGGTTAAAGTTCATTTGCTGCAATATTCAAACTTGAACTTGTTTGTGTGTTTGAGCAAAGTCGTTCCGCCTCTTTGTCAACTGAGCTATACACCAGAGCACTACAATTTTTTTATTAACATTATTTGACAACATGAATATGGTCGACAGTTTCTACGTTACAACCCACGTATTTTTATAACCATGTTGCAAGGTTTAAAAATAGAAATTACGTAACCGAATGAACTTTTGTATATATTTGGCACGTGTTGCTTTCATGGGGTTGTGACGCCTAACAGAAATCATGAATACTGAATAAATTCAACAATGCCTTAGAAAGGTTACATCTTAAGATTTAAAACATAAATTTGTCTTAGCTGTTTGACAGTTGCTAAATAGTTTGGTGCAAAATGATTGAGAAGTTTTCATGATATAGTACAAAATGAAGTATAATTGTTTGGTAATTGTTTACAA